ACTCCGGAGCCCTAGGCCTCCCCTTGCGAACTGCAGCCATGAAAACAGGCACACTCTCACCAGCCTGCACGATCTGTTACCCTGGCTTCCAAAATGCACTCAGCGCAACCAATCAAAGCTAAGGAAACCATGGAAACGGGTTTCCAGGTGCTTGGCAAAAGCTTTCCGCAGATCTAAGGATAGAGGTGAAGGGGTCTGTGTACTGCTGTAAATAAGCCACTACTGCAACCAATTCCACTCATCCATCTGTTCCTAATGAACCTTTGCAGCTCCAAATTGATCTTTCCTTCTTTCTTTCCTTCCTTCCTTCCTTCCTTCCTTCCTTCCTTCCTTCCTTTGCTATTTATTTTTATTTCTTTTTCCTCTGAGTGAAATAACTTAAGGGTGAGAGTACTGACCACAGTAAACACTAGACAGAGTGAAGTCACTTGGTCAATTCTGCTTTGTGTGTTCCATATTTAATAATATTAAGTGCTAACTGTTGCCATATATGTGATACATACAGTTACATGTGTGAATGTGTTTATATAATGTATAGGAAAGGTACATATTGAATTAAATATTTTTCTGAACCTGTGAATAAAAAGAAAAATGCTAAAGAGATGGGAAGAAAATTATTCAAAATATTTCCTATGCAACTAAGTGTGTTTGTTTTGGTTTTGTCAGATTCATCACAAAGAAAATAGATCGTAGGCTCATGCATTTACATTTTAAATAAAAAACAAAAAACATTTTAGTATATGTCCTATATAATAATAAATCAGCATTAAGAGAACAGTTTCTATTAAAGACAAGATAATGCCACTTTGTACATCCACTTTCCTTGCTCAACACTTCTATAATTTGATCCTTATTTTTACATTTTGCTTGAAAAAGGAATGTTTGAGCAACCCCTAATGTCTAAAAACTGCTAAAACATTTATAGGCTTGTTCTCTTGTTGAACAGAAACCTACAGAGTACAAACCTAATGTGTCTTGGGATACTGAACAAGTAAGCAAAACTAAGACTACTTCATAATTTTGTCTAAGAACAGACAAAACCAGGGTCACTGTGACACCCAGAAAATGACATACACCACTTTGTTTGGCTTGAACTCAGGGCTTTGCATGCTTCATGTTTTTACTCAAGGCTGGCCCTCTACCACTTGAATTAGACCTTCACATTTGGCTTTTTTGCTGGTCAATTGGAGGTAATACTCTCACAGATTTGCCTGGGCAAATCATATATCTCAGCCTCCTAAGTAGCTAGGATTACAGACATGAGTGGCCACCTCCCAGATTTGTTTTCTTTTTAAAAAATATGCATAGGATAATCTTGACCCCTTTCAAAAACATGAATATTTACCATTCTGTTGAAATTCTTGTGCTGCTTTTCTACAAAAATCTTACTGAAAAAGGTTCATTGGAGCATTCCTGAGTGAGAAATACTACTTTTCTTCCACAGGAGATCAGACGTACATGTTATCGTCCATCTATCCACAATCTCTTCTACATTTTTCTCAATAAAATACAGCCACATGATAAAAACATTAATCATGACACAGCTTTATTTTAACTTGGAAATAAGAAATTCACATGATATTCCGTAAGCTCTTCTCCACAATTTTGTATTGTGGAAAAACAACTAGGTGGGAATCATTACATTATTGTTTTTGATTAGGATTTAAAATCATCAGTTGCTTTGGTTAATACAAAGACACTTCACAGCAAATAGGACTCTTCTATTGTAAAACAGACTAAAGTAGATTAATATTTCTTGGCAATTGAGCACTTAATAAACTAACAGACTGATGACCACTTTGCTTGCTCACTCTAATATTTTAATTTGAAAACCTATGAAATAGGATAAAATGTATCTTGTACGTTTGGAATCTATTTTATCTTTCAAAGCTCAACTAAAATGAAAATTAAATGTACTGTTGAAAGCAGTGACACTCAGGTGCTGGTGGCTCATGCCTGTAATCCTAGCTTCTCAGCATACTGAAATCTGAGAATCCAGGTTCAAAGCCACCCCAAGCAGACAAATTGAGAGGCATGTATCTCTAATTAATTAGCAGGAAACCAGGCACAGAGGTGTGGGTCAAGTGGTAGAACAACAGCTGTGAGTGCAAAAGCTGAGAGGTCAAAGCATGAAGTGCTGGCACACACACACACACACACACACACACACACACACACACACAGAACGCACCCACGTGCGCACACACAAACAACAAATCAACAAATAACAGCAACAAAATAAAACAAACAAGCCTGGCGTTGGTGGCTCACACCTGTAATCCTAGCTACTTAGGAGGTTGAATTTTGGGGATCATGGTTCAAAGTCAGTCAGGACAGGAAAGTCCAAAAGACTCTTATCTCCTATTAACCATCAGAATACTGGAAGTGGTGCTGTGACTCAAGTGGTAGAGTGTTCTTTTTGAGCAAAAAGAGCTCAGGGACAGCACCCAGGCCCCCAGTTGAAGCCCCATGACTGACAAAAATATTAAAAAATAAGTTAATACAACAAACAAACAAAAACTCTCATGAAGTTAGTGACTGGTCTTAGTTTCAGACTGTTGGGTCTCAAGTTTATGAGATCAATAGTTAGAATGGAAATATTTTGCTTTCTACCCATTCTCTTGTTTCATTCATCATGGTACTCAGTTGAGAGTATTTTTAAATTTTATTTTATTGTAAAGATGCTGTACAGAGGGGTTACATTTACATGAGTAAGGTATATTACTTGTTGAACATTGTCACCCACTCCATTGTTGTTCTCCCACTATCCCTTCCCTCCTCCCATTCTTCCCCCCCACCTCACGAAGTTGTAAAGTTCATTTCTGACATATTGTCCTTGTTGCAATGGGTCATCTTTTGTACTTCTTTCTGCATTTTGTTATTTCCCTTCCCTTCCGCCAATCAGATAAATGCATATACAAGATGGAGGGTACCAGAATCAAAGACAGAGCTTGTCAGGGCTAAACCAATCAATGGACAACTGAAAAAAAAAAGACCTGTTGTTTGGTTGAGAGTATATTATCAGGGAATTTTTTAAATTTTATAACTTTTTTTGTCCATCACGATTCTGGGTACTGTCCCTGAGCTTTTTCACTTAACACTAGTGTTCTAGTACTTTGAGCCATAGCTCCACTTCCAGTTTTCTGGTGGTGAATTGAAGATTGAGTCTCATAGACTTTCATGCTCAGGCTGGCTTTGAATTGTGATCCTCAGATCTCAGCCTCCTGACTAGCTAGGATTACAGGCCAGAGCCTCCAGTGCCCAGTTGATAACTTTTTAAATTAGATAATGAACATTGACTATACATCAGACATTAAATTCCCTAGAGGGTGAAATGCTATGAGAATAATAATAAATCAATGCAAATGTTAATGTTAATTTCCTTTCAAGATATATTTTAGGTAGTACTATTCAGTTTGTTATTCCTTTCTCCTTGCCTTTATACTGTGCATACCTATCTCCCAAGCTGTGTGAATAGCGACAGGCCTTTCATTTATTCATTTTGTATTCCACAGAGCCTACTGTATGCCTCAGTATAGATCAGATGGTCTACATTAGTGGAACACCATTGACTATAACCATTTTGTTAAAAGTTTCTTATGCAAACATTGTATTTCTTTCTCAATCTTAGAGTGAAGCCAGCCACTGGTGGCTCTTAGCTAATCAGGAACCTGAGACCTGCAGGGTCAGTTTGAATCCAACCCCAGGCAAGAAAGTCTGGGAGACTCGGTTTTCAATTAACTAGCAAAACCTGTACTGGAGGTGTGTAGCAAGAAGTAGAGTGCCAGCTTTGAGCATACAACGTGATAGAGACCATGGCAGCAGTAAGTTCCAGTATTCAAGCCCCAGTGCCACATACACAAGAAGCCCAGTGAGCTGGGCACTGGAGGTTCACACATGTAATCCTGGCCACTCAGGAGGCTGAGATCTGAGGATCATGGTTGAAGGCGAGCCCAGGAAGTTCATGGGACTGTCATCTCCAATTAACCACCAGAAAAGCAGAAGTGGTGTTGTGGCTCATAGTGCTAGCCTTGAGCAAAAAAAAAAAAAAAGGGGCCAAGGATACTCTCTAGGACCTGAGTTCAAGCTCCAAGACCGACAATAAAAAAACAAACAAATAAATAAATAGAAGTACAGTGATTTAGTTGTCTTGTTATGTTAGCACTTTAATTACAGGGTAATTAATTTTGTCATTTATTCAGATTATATTTCATCGAACAGCTTAATGTGTCAGAATTCAAACTTGCAAAATAACTGCCACCATATAGCCTGTAAAAGTTTTTATGACGTAGGAGGTATAGAGTGATTTTTTTTTCGCAACTCAGGGTTCAGGTGTCCTTGGGTTCCTCTGAGCCCTATCTTTTCTAGTTCTTTTAAGCTTTCTTTTTTTTCTTTTTTTTTTTTTTTGTCGGTCGTGGGGCTTGAACTCTGGGCCTGAGCGTTGTCCCTCAGCTCTTCAACTCAAGGCGAGCGCTCTACCACTTGAGCCACAGCGCCACTTTTAAGCTTTCTTTTTGAGGTAAGATTTCCCAGTGCTTTTTGTCTGAGCCATCCTTGACCTCCAACAAGTGGTCTTCCTACCTTCGCCTCCCAAGTAGCTGAGATTGCCAGCTACCCATGGCCACCCCCAAAGCCAGCTTTGATTGGCTTTTAAGTGTGCCAGAATCATTTCCCCTCCTACTCCTATTGGTTACTCGATCTTTTGTGTGTGTGTGTTTCCTGTCCCCCTCACACTCAGGAAGTTGCGGAACACTTCTCGAGTTTCCCTGTGTTTCGTGGCAAGAGCTGGACGGTGGAGGCCGGCTCCTGTGAAGTGGAGCGTCGTCGAGTTCGGGCCCTTCCGGACAGATCCGGACCGCACTCGGAAGAGGAAGGCGCGCCTGACTCCTAGCGCTTCGCCCTCGCGCTGTGCCCTCTGTCGGCTGCGTGAGGCAGCTGTAGCAGCGGTGGCAAGCCGCCGTGTTGACGTCGCCAAAGACTGGAGCGACGTTTAAAGCAGCAGCAGCAGCCGCCGCAGCAGCCGCAGCAGCCGCAGCAGCAGAATCTCCAAGGAGTCGAGCCTCTTCTGGGATCCTCCCACCGTTCGGCGGCCGGAGGAGGAGAAGCGGCGGCGGCGGCACCAGCGCTGAGAAGCAGGTGAAGGAGCCGGCTGCAGGGTGGGAGGGGGCGAAGGCGCACGCTGCCGGCCCAGATCCCTGGGCCGCAGCTGCTTTAGCCTCACTTGAACCAGGAAGCGGCGGAGTTGCAGGCTCCGCTCCTCCGGCTTTCTTTGTGTGGGCCTGGGAATGAAGAAGGGGGAAGTACCGGGAGGGCCGCGTCGTGCTGGGCTTCTCTGTTAAGAGCTGACGGTTTGCCAGTACTCTAGGTAGGCCCCGAGGCATGGGAACCCCCACCAACAGAGATCGACTTGGCTTTTGCCTCACCCCTCTGTTTTTCTTTTGGGGCCTCTTTTTCTCCGCCTACCCCTTACTTTGGTTTAGAGGTTTTCTACAAGGGCCCATCCTCCCCTCGAATCCCCTTCCGGGGGCATAACAATGCCTCCTGCTTCTACTCATCAATACCCCCTCCACTGCACCCTACTGTTCAGCACCATCTACTTTCTCCTGCACCCCTGAATCCTCTCTCTCTTCTCTGTCTCTGTCTCCTTCTCCACTGTGCTGTGGATACTTCCATCTGCATTACTAAAAAGGTAGCTTTTCACATGAATCGAGGTTAAAAAACCTGGGTTGCATCTGGCCCTGGGTGCAAATGAACACAAGGGAGGTAGAGAGAGATGGAGTTCGGCTGCCGCAGAGAGCCGCGTGTTGGTTTGTTTCACTCCCAAGCCCAAGGCTTTTATCTTTTTTCTTGATCGCCAGTTCCTCTGAACCTGCCCTCATGCAAGCATTTGTCACACAATGATGTGGCTTGTACACTTACTGACTTGTGTTGACCCTGGGCCCATCCTGATCGGACTAGAGGTGGGAAGTGGGGAGATGGGGGGGTGGGGAGGGAACCTAAACAAAACGAAACCAAGTCCCAGGATCACCTAGGCACCTATATTTGACGCACTCCCACATAGGAAACCCTACTTGCAAATGATAAAAATCGTAAGATTATATTCCCAAACCTATCTCTCCACTTAAAAGTGACTTCTCTTGAGATCTCAATATTTCGGGAGCCGTGGTAGTTGGCACTTTGTCCAAAGGTCATCCTACCCAATAAATGTCTTTATAGTAACTTGGAATTCTTGGTACTGTTAAAATGCAAGACCTATTAGGATTTTACTCCTTGATTTTTTTGACCTTTTTTGCCTTATGTTTTGTCCTTACGGTATGATTTTGAAAATTTTGAGATTGTTTGAGATATTCTACCTTCTATGTGTATGTAACTTAAATACTGACAGTGATACTCTTTGGGTAACTTTAAAGGTAAAGAATATATTTTTAAATTTTATTTTATTTTTAAATTAGCATACGTTAATAGTACAAGGGAGACACATAATAATCCAGTAGATTCAGTGTACTTTGAGCAAATTACCCTCTCTATAATATAGCCCCTTTCTCCTAATTTTCAAAGAGTGTTTCGTGAGTTTCATTATTCTGCCTTTATATATATATATATATATTTATATGTGTATATATATATGCAGTTACATATATATAAAGCTTATGTATGTGTGTTTTGTATTCTGTATGTGACATACTTTGATCTACATGGAAAGCATATGAACAGTAAAATATTTATTTTCTAACGATACTTATCAAATAGTGGTAAATACATAATATCCATATATGTGTGTAATGTGTGCTGCATTTATATATAGGTATTGGGTCTGTGTGTGTTAAACAATTCTGACATTGTTATGATGGATAAGCTTCTATGAAGTGCAAACAAAAGTTTATGACAGGGACTGGGAATGTGTCTTAGTGGTAGAGTGCTCACCTACCATGCATAAAGCCCTGGGTTTGATTCCTCAGTACCACACACACAGAAAAAGCTGGAAGTGGTGCTGTGGCTCAAGTGGTAAAGTGCTAGTAGAAAGAAGCTCAGGGACAGCACCCAGGCCCTGATTTCAAGCCCCAGAAGTGGAAAAAAAAAGTTTAGGACATTTAATTCCCCTCCCCCCATTCTACAGTAATGTCTCCTCTGTTCCAATAAGTTAAAATTTTTATTTTCACACTCATTTGTTTAAAAAAGTCCTTATATCAATATACATTAATTCTTTCCCAAGTGAAATGCATTTTTTTCTGTAAATAAGCAGTTAAGAAATAGTATGCTTTGTTTTTTCATTGTCTTTTAATTTTTCATAGTAGCATTGACCTAACTAGACACTTGTTTGATAGTGCATGTCTGGAGCTTGTATACAACATAACGAGGTAAGAGAGTTGGACAAGGAATGGGAACAGAACAATAATGGGACATTATATTAGATAATAATTGGCAGTGTTTGTAAATGTCCTTGGCTGCAGAAGTAGCTTTCGAGTATGAGTTTCAGTAGCTCTCACCAGCTACTCAGGAAGCTGACATTTTAGGTTTACAGTTCAAAGCCAGCCAGGGTAAAAAAATCCATAGGACTCATTTCCAGTTAACCAGCAAAAAGCTAGAACCAGAAGCATGACTTAAGTGGTAGACCATGGGTGAGAAAGCCCAGTGAGAGCTGGATGTCCTAAGTTCAAACTCAGTCCCAACACACACACAAAAAAAAATTGAGAAGATCATGTATTTTAGACCCAGTATTAAATACACACTGTTCTTCCATTTAAGTAATTCAGTTACAAATGAAGTAATGTCTGTAAATTTGTGATGAAAATTTTTCTTAAAACAATTTAGAACAGTTAAAAATGAACTCTTACCTCTTCTTGAAAAAGTTCAAAATTAGGACTAAGAAAAATGAATTGGCATTTAAAAAAGAAGTGCTTTGTAAAAATGCCAGTGTTAAGCCAGATGCCTGTGGCTCATGCCTGTAATCCTAGCTACTCAGTAGGCTGAGATCTGAGGATCACATTTCAAAGCCAGCCCAGGCAGGAAAGTCTATGAGACTCTTATCTCCAATAAACCACCAGTAAACTGAAAGTGGTACAGTGGCTCAAGAGGTAGAGTGCTAGCCTTGAGCTGAAGAGCTGAGAGGGATAGCGCCCAGGGCCAGAGTTAAAGCCCCATGACTGACAAAAAAAAAGGCCTGAGAGTTGCTTTGTCTCATCTCAATCAGAAGTTGTAAGATTAGACACATGGTCCAAAATTTTGCTTGTATAAACAATTTATATAAGAATCCAAAACATTATGCAAAACTTAGATTAAATTTAAACGAGCCTATGGCTTAATTTCTGAATAATAAGAGACTTTTGCTTTTTCTCCCTAAACCTTCCTCATCCCTTCCTCTTCCTTTTCTGTTACAGGTATGGAGAGCAAAAAACTGATTTCTGCTACTGACATTCAATACTCTGGCAGTCTGCTTAGCTCCTTGAATGAACAACGTGGCCATGGACTCTTCTGTGATGTTACTGTTATTGTGGAAGATCGAAAATTTCGGGCCCATAGGAATATTCTTTCAGCTTCAAGTACATACTTCCATCAGCTCTTCTCGGTTGCTGGTCAGGTTGTTGAACTGAGCTTCATAAGAGCAGAGATCTTTGCAGAAATTCTCAATTACATCTATAGCTCTAAAATTGTTCGTGTTAGAGCAGATTTACTTGATGAGTTAATTAAATCGGGCCAGTTGTTGGGAGTGAAATTTATAGCAGAGCTGGGTGTCCCACTGTCACAGGTTAAAGGCATCTCAGGTGCAGCTCCGGAAGGTAATGCTGAAACCTTACCTGCTGACTCTAGTGATAAAAACGTTGTAATAGAAAAGTCAAAAGATGAAACCCAAGACAACGGGGCTACGAACATGCCTATTATAACAGAGTCTTTTTCCTTATCTGCTGAAGATTATGAAATGAAAAAAATCATTGTTACTGATTCAGATGATGATGACGATGATGTCATTTTCTGCTCTGAGATTTTGCCTGCAAAGGAGACTTTGCCGAGTAGCAATGAAGTGACACAGGTCCAGCCTAAGCCAGGCCCTGTTGCTATTTCAGATGTGGCACCTTGTGCCAGTAATAACTCTCCCCCTTTAACAAGTATCACACCTACTCAGAAGTTTCCCCCTCCTGTGAATCAGGCAACACTGAACCAAAAACAAGGAAGTGAAAAATTGCTGGTATCTTCGGCTCCAACCCATCTGACTCCCAACATTATTTTGCTAAGTCAGACACCACTTACTACACCTCCAGTTGCCAGTGCTTCACTTCCTAATCATATGTCATCTCCTATCAACTTACTTGTACAGAATCAGCAGACACCAAACAATGCTGTTTTAACAGAAAGCAAGGTGAGTGAAGAAATGGAGGAGGAAATTATAGATGATGATGATGATACTATTAGCTCCAGTCCAGACTCAGCAGTCAGTAATACATCTTTGGTCCCACGGGCTGATACCGCTCAGAATGCTACTTTTGATGGATCATTGGTACAGAAGATGCAGATTCCTACACTTCTGCAAGAACCAACTTCACATTCTTTAAAAGTTTCTGATATAATTACTAGAAACACTAATGATCCAAGCTTAGGATCAAAATATCTCATGGAGGGTCAGAAGATCATTACTTTAGATACGGCTACTGAAATTGAAGGACTGTCCACTGGTTGCAAGGTTTATGCAAATATTGGTGAAGATACTTACGATATAGTGATCCCTGTCAAAGATGACCCTGATGAGGGGGAGGCCAAAATTGATAGTGAATTATCAAAAACATCTCACAGTGAGTCTACAAGCAAACGTATGAAAGTAAAACATGATGATCACTATGAGTTAATAGTAGATGGAAGGGTCTATTATATCTGCATTGTATGCAAAAGGTCATATGTCTGTCTGACAAGCTTGCGAAGACATTTTAACATTCATTCTTGGGAAAAGAAGTATCCATGCCGTTACTGTGAGAAAGTGTTTCCTCTTGCAGAATATCGCACAAAGCATGAAATTCACCATACGGGGGAGCGAAGGTATCAGTGTTTGGCTTGTGGCAAAACTTTCATCAACTATCATTTCATGTCTTCGCACATAAAGTCAGTTCATAGTCAAGATCCTTCTGGGGACTCAAAGCTTTATCGTTTACATCCATGCAAGTCTTTGCAGATCAGACAGTATGCATATCTTTCTGATAGGTCAGGCACTATCCCTGTCATGAAGGATGATGGTATTGGTTATAAGGTTGATGCTGGAAAAGAACCGCCAGTAGGGACCACATCTACTCAGAACAAGCCAATGAGCTGGGAAGATATTTTTATTCAGCAGGAAAATGATTCAATGTTTAAACAGAATGTAACAGATGGCAGTACTGAGTTTGAATTTATAATACCAGAGTCTTATTGAACTTCTTTGAAATACCAGTTAGTTTCAGGTTGGATTAAGGGGTAGAGATTACAAAAGACCTGTAAAACAAATTAAAGTGAATACAGGTTAATCTGACCTCACACATCCTCTGAAGGTAGTATAGATGAATTGTTAATCATTTTTAGAAGCAATCTTCTCTGAAATTTTGAGTAGAGGTTGAAAAGTTGTGCCCCCAAGCATTGGTTTAGTTAGCTTTCTGCTCATTTCAAAGAAAAATTTTAAAATTCAGAGAGATAGTTTCTTGGGTAGAATTTGAAAGTCTGAATATTCTTTGAAAAATCACTGGAGTTTCTAGCATATCCTAGTACATTTTTACAGTTTCCCCCTTTCATGTTAGCACTTTACTGCTCAATTCCCAGTTTTGTTTTTTAACATCAAGACTATAAGTGTGTGTTGTGTCTTGTATATGGCATTAAAAAGTAAAGGACTGCCAAAAATTGTTCTAGAAAAACTCAGAATAAATCTCTACTTCAGTATATTCTGCTAGTCTTAAATGGATAGCGACCTCCTGCCTCGTCCCATTAAAATAGGAATGCAAAAAAAAAGTCATATGAAGAATAAATTAGTTTTAGCTAATTAGAATTAACACTTGGCTTTTATTACCACAGTCTGAAAAAGACTTTGGTGGCTTGGCCACTATAGGCTTTATAGTGTGTTCTCTGGGCAAAAAAACTAGTGGAAGGAAAAAATACATCGAGGATGAGCTACCGCCTGCAGACAGGAGGAAACAAGTTCTGTTGCACTTATTTTGAATTCCCTGTTCTTAAAGGATAGAATAAGTAGAGTTCAATGGGGATTTCTTTCTGTTCATTATGGTTAAGAATATTCTTCTGAAATTCTATAAATTTTTAATCTGAAAGCCACCAAATGAATCTTTATACATTATTTATGTATAAATCTTTGTAAATGACAGACCCCATAGATGAGACTCCTATGTATTTTGGGTGGAGGCTACTGGCATATATTTTTAAATGTTTATATTAGAATCTCCAATAGGAACTTTTCATTTGAAATAGTTTATGTGGTGACCTAGTATTTTGTTTTCAGCAAGTTCTTAGGGCTATCCCATCTCCAAGTTGCTGCAGTATTAAAGCAATCAGAAACTACATATGGAATGTTATATAGGCTTATAAAGTCCCATTTGACAACAACAAATACCACTTTACTTCCTTTCAAGATGAAACATATTTAAACACTTAGAAAATAATGTTAAATTGCATTTAATTGCTACTACTGAAAGGAAGCAGGTTGGAACAAATATATAGCCTACCATTTTTAACAAGATTAGCTTGAAATGTAAATTTTTTATGGGAAGGAAAAAATTTAATAGCTACTGGAAAAGATTGCTCTTGCGTTGTCACTAGCTATTCATAATTTTGCTTATGTATTTCTTAGTTCAACATAGATTCTTTCTCCTGATCACATAACTGTAAAAGTAGTCTATTTCTTGACTTTGAACGCAAAGCTTTAATCATATTTGCTCATGTATTCATTCTTCTGATGGTAAGCTAGATTTGGGATAGTGGTTACAGTGTTAAGAAATACTGGTAGCTGAAGATAGTAGGCATCAGTATTTGCAGTAATATAGGAGAAAGGAAAAAATATTTCTTTTGCTTATCAAGGAGTGGAATGATATACACTTATCTGCTTACTGTTTTATGAACCTAGACTTTCAAATCATTTTATAAAGTGAACCTTAGAAAATTTGAAATCACCTTAGAACTTAAGAATGATGTTTAATCACAGTATGTTTTCTTTTTGTAGATACTGATAACATTGCTCTTTGACTATAGGGTAAACTGAAATGTCCTGTTATATATATTTTTTTGTTTCATTAATGCTATTTCACCAGTTAGACATAGTTGGTTCTACCAATGTGATTGATATCAGCAGAACTTCCAGTTATTTCAGACTCAACTGCTAGATAATTAGTTTGTCATGATAAAACTTAGTTTCTCTAAGCATATCATGATAAGTCAGAAATCCTGTAATGGGAAACTATCTGTTCTGAATACTGATAAAAGTGTTTGCTGCAGGGCTCTATAAATTTGAAGTATGAGTTTATAAACTGTGCCTACTGAAGGTAACTTCTGAAGGTTTTTGAGAGAAGGGAAACTGGAAAGCTAACGTGTAATTTTGCCAGAAGACTCTTACTTGCATGAATTGCGGGGTCTTCAAGTCATTCTAGAAGTTTCCATTTCCAAAGGCCAGAGTTCATTGGAATAAAACTTTTGGACAAGAACTTGTCACTTCCAGTCTTTATTGGATTGAAAATTTGTAGCAAGATACTGTTTAAAACTTATCATGGGGTTTTTCTATTTACTACTTAGCTTTCTCTGGCTATTGACTTTCCTTTTCCTTCAAGTTAATTAAAATTTTCCTAATGCTCAATTCCCTGTAAATATTCTGGACAGGAAGTATTTGAAATAGTAGATTTCTTTTAAAAATGACAAAATGGTAAAGGCTTAAAAATGCTGAAACAATCTTGCAAGATTAACTTTAAACATACTTTAAATGGTTATTATTTTATTGGTGTTAATGATCCCCCACATATAACCACTATCAGGAAATGATGTCACATTTTCCTACTAAAACTTGCACTAAAAAGATAAAACTAAATACTGAACATTAATTAAGGTATTTTATATTGACATGGCATGCATATTATAAGGAATTAAATGCTATTGAATAGCACTGGCTTCTTCACTTCTGTCAGTTGTATGAAATGTACATTTCCCCAAATACTTTACTATCCTGTCATGACATTTTAAGTTCTACTTTTCATTAACCATTACTTGATACTAGTTTCATAGAGCTTATGGCACAAATAAAAATGTTTCAATTCTAATTTTTGAGTGCATTTTTACAAGATTATCTTTCAACAAATGATACAGGAATGTATACTGTGTCCATTTTTTCATTTTGTCTTTGCTGGTTTTCTTTTCTTGGTAGCAGGAAACTTATGTTGTATTTCTGATAGTGGTGTGGCAAAAATTCCCACTAGGTTTTATGTGCTGGTTAATCATGCCTCATTGTTTATTGAACCATAATAATAAAAGACGAGTTAGCTCCTGTTACTCTGAGTGTTTGCTATAATTGTGTAGATACCATGAGGATGCCGCTAAGTGGGTAAGGAGAGGATAGTTTTATTAATTTGAAACATCACAAAAGCAGTCTGGGTTTCCAACATGGCAGTGATACAGATTTTAAGCAACATCCAGTTTATACAGGTTCTGGATTAATATTTTAATGTTTCATGCCCAGTTCAATACTTTAAAGCAGAATTAGGAAGGAAGCAGTAAATATTACAAAATGCAGTCAAGATACATATTGGAAATAGAAATTCCTTCATTACAGCAAATGTTTTGCAAAAAAGTAAAGCAGCAAATACCGATTTTTCTAAGGTTACATGCACTTTATATAATTCAATGTAATAAAAAAGAAGCTGCTCAAATTAAGTGTTACAAAATCTATAGTGTTTCAAGTTATTTTGTAAAGTAAGAAAAATACATAGAAATGAGTCATAGAATCTTAACACTTTTAAGAAATGTGATAAATGTAGGATATACCATGTAATGGTGCCTTTAAAAATATACATGTTCACTAAAGCAAAAGGTAAAGTATAAGTGGCAAAAAATTCAGTGAATATTACAAGTTGATACTTGTATAGTAAGTCAATTGGTTATTAGTCCTTTTTGGAAGTTCAATAGAATTTTGATATGCTCAGAACTGTAAAAAATAATAGTAATTTTGTATAACACAAAAGGATTATAGTTCTTCAGATTTGAAATCTGGCTAAAACAACATTCATGATGCTGAAAGTTAAACTAAATATTTTGCTTTGAACAAAATATTTCATCTTTACTATGAACAGTGAGTGCACTTCTTGTGCCTTGATGACTTTAATGACCAGGTGTCTACAAGGTAGATGGGAGCACCAGCATTTGTCTACTACCTCTAATCCATCAAGTTGGGAGGTAGCGAAATTGGCTGGAAATGTTTCCAGTATGTGTTCTGTGTTTGCAGAACTTTCTAATTAGGTACCCTCCTGTAGCCCCTGTATTTTTACATGTGTAGGATTATCAGTCTTCCTTTAAACTTATCAATTCTTGGGTTAACATAAGATCCCAATGTATGGGTTCATTCTGAGTTGAAGGCATGGGTGCCAAAGTGTTTTAAACTCATCCGATTGATGGGTTAAAGCTATGTGTAATTAAAAGAACTGTACAAAGATACCACAATGTGCCTGATGGATTTCAAATCTACTGTAACACTTAAGAATTTGTCAAGTTGGCTACATTTGAAGTTTTGCAGACTTGAAGCAGCATTGTAATACTTTCATAATCTTGAACGCTGTCATGATTGGTCTCAACAGAAACAGGACCAATAAGAGCAATGATACTAAAATACAGATGACTTTTTTGGGGTGGGGGTGCAAGATACGTGCGGTTTGCTGGGGCTGAAGCACAATATTTGAAGATTAAATAGTCACAACAGTAACAACTCATATCATGACCGAGCCTAATCTAGAACTTTTTTTGACTCTGAACTTCCGCTGTAAGATTTACATCCCCTTTAGCAAATGTATTTTGCAATACTGCAACATGTAGTAGAATCACTCTCCTAAAATACTGAATGTATTACTGAGATCTACTTAAAACAGTTGACATGTTGCTCTGTATTTCAGTGCTTCCAGAACAATCCTGTTTCCCACTGCACAAGATGAGGGAATATTGCACTTTTCCCATTAGGAGGTACCAATAACAAAAGCTGAGCTGAATAATCACAGCAGCCATTTTTATAATACAGAGAAGAAAGGAGTAAGATATGGGCAGCTTTTTTCCAGACACAAGCAAACAAAATCTTAGCCTGAACTCTGTGTTGGAACTACTGTGTAGCCCAATTCACTGCATGTATTTTTTTCTTCCTTAAAGACTGGCGGCAGTGTAGGGAAAGATAGGGCCTCTCAACCAGGTCCTTCAACCAAGGTGCTCAGGTAACAATCTGCCAAGGGCCTTAGGACAATATTCCGTTGCCAAAAGTGAAGCAGATGACAGCTGCGCTTCTGCTGAAAACAGACATGGGGCATACTGCAATGCAAGTCCAATCATGCAATGTTCTTATTGGGCCATCTCCCCAGGCTTGCTACAAACTGTCCTTGGAAATGTTGGGTTCAGCCTAGCCACCCATCCTTTTCACTGAACAAGTAAACTTCATCCCTATCTTTCCCTAGCTTGGCAGGCCATTGTTAAAAAACTTTATGCATGAGTCACACTTTAAATTTTGTACCCTACACATTTCCACTAAAGCAGAAATACAAAAGCCACAATAATCTCAATAGCCAGCAGGCATTCCCCTTTAGGGACTGTATGGTGGTGGCTTCTCAAAAGGTGGATAGTAGGGTGGAGAGTAACGAGGTGGTGCACTTGAGGACCACATGTAGCTGGGAGAGGGTGAAGCAGACTGGGGTTCATCAGAGAGTCCAGAGGGAGGGGAGGATGGAAAGACACTGGAATGCTGTGTAATGAAAAGAAAACATCAATTTAGACAGTTTTCAATTCCCTGGATAGTCATTTCAATTTTAAAATTAAATATATACCAACAGACAGCTCATGAACCTTACAAGGTTAATGAGGGCATGAAAGAGGAAGCCCCATATTCTATCACTAGAAACAAGAACAAGGGAAAAGAAAATAAAGGGTTTTTGCTTTATTCTTGGCAGGGAAGTGGGGAAAAAGAATCCTGTGAGTCTCATGTACAAATATTTGGGAATCCAGGGTAGATTGGAGAGCAACGAATAGCAAAGGCATGAAGGGAAAAATACCAATCAATGGAAAGAATGAGGAGTGATATGTCAGATTGCAGACACTGAAGATTCAATTAAGCCTCGTGATGGCTCAGCTTGAATTCTGCCATTTAAGTCACACCTCCAGCCCAGATTTTTGCTGATTATTTTGGAGATAGAGTCCCGGAATTCTACCTGGGATGGCACTGAATCAAAATTCCCTAGGTCTCAGCCTTCAGAGTAGCTAGGATTACAGATAATCTCTTTTTGTTTTCTTAACTTTAGGAAAAGGGCTCGTATGGATTTAGGGAAAAAAATCACGTGGATTCCTGGTTCGGAATCATTCGCTGCTCTCTTTCCCTGGCCCATGTCTGTGTGTAACCTTAATGATTTTCTTATTAAAGAAGAGTTAGCTTATTTTTTCATTGTTGAATCCCCCAGGGCTTGGCACAATGCTTGGCAAGTAGTAGGTGTTCAATAAATCTTGAATGAGTAAATATAACTTCAAAAGTGTATAAGATAAACTTGGCATGCTTTGTAAATAAAACATAAAATCTATTTTTAGAAGATACAGTTACAGTGGAAGTGAGGCTGGAGCTCACTGACTTCTTGAGGCTGCAGGAGGGAGCTACAAGGATGGTAGAAAGCAGTTTTAGGTTCTCAGGAAGAACAAATATAAGCCAACAGAAGGAGTAAAGGATCAGCAAATATTCTGTTGTGTCTTATGTATGCTCAAAGCCTCTTATACCAATTTTTCTCAAGAACTCAAGTGCTATTTTGGGGTGATGGGTAGTGGAGAAGTCACATGTTTACTTTGTTCTGCTAGGCCAGAATTTGAGTAGACCATGTTATTTTTCCAGGCTTGTGGCATTCTAGAGTCAACAATGACTTGTCTCCAGGTGCTGGTGGCTCATGCCTGTAATCCTAGCTACTCAGGAGGCTGAGATCTAAGGATTGTGGTTCAAAGCCAGCCTGGGCAGGAAAGTCTGTGAGAATCTTATCTCCAGTTAACCACCAGAAAATCAGAAGTAGTGCTGTGGCTCAAGGGGTAGAGTGGTTGCCTTGAGCTGAAGAACTCATAGACAGTACCCAGGCCCAGAGTTCAAGCCCCACAACTGACAAAACAAAAACAAACAAAAAACATTGACTTGTGGTTTTTTTGAGCATGAGACAAATTGGCTGATTATTATCTCGTGTCTTTAACTGTGTACTTCTAGGAAAGACATGTCTAAGTTTCGAGGTCTTGCATATAACACTGAAATATATCTGTCCCTTACCACAATACTATCAGGATTGAGAAGAGACTGCAGTTGCTCTCCTCCTCCATTTTCTTTTCTACCTCCTGATCTTCCTCCTCCTCCTCCCCCCTCTTACCATACCTATTTTTTCACCCTGAGTGAAGAAATTCAGAATTGTAGAACGTGAGAGAGTCTTTAAAGGCAAACTATCTTAAGACAGTGGATTTATAACAAGCCATGTCCTCCCCCAAACTCAACTTTTCCCATCTCCCCCACCCCTCTAAGAACTTTCCAATTTCTAAAGCTTCAGTGTGGTGATCATTGTTTCATGGTGGATATGTTCTGACAAATGCATCATTTGAAAGTCTTTTGATTGTGCAAACCTCACAGAGTGTGCTTATACAAAGATAGCTCTGATGTCACTAGGCAATGTAATATTATGGCACCACCACTGTATATTCTGCCCATCATCAACAGAAATATTATGCAGTACAAGAATGTACAGTGGTTCCTTAATTTTCTTTTTTTTTTCCGGTCATGGGGCCTGAATTCTGGGCCTGGGTGCTGTTCCTCAGCTCTTCAGCTCAAGACTAGTGCTCTACCACTTGAGCCACAGCACCACTTCCGGCTTTTTTCTTTTTGCTTATGTGGTGCTGAGGAATCGAACCCTGGGCCTCATGCATGCAAGGCAAGCGCTCTGCCACTGAACCACCTTCCCAGTCCCCTCCTTAATTTTCTATTTGGCATTGTTCAAACTCTCCCTTTCTCCTTTTTCTCCCTTCTCTTGCTGCTTTCTTCAGTAAGCATTCTCATTTGTTTATCATCAGCCATGGGGCTTGAACTCAGGGCCTGGGTGCTGTCCCTGAGCTCTTCTTGCTCAAGGCTAGTAGGGCTCTACCATTTTGAGCCACAGCTTCCTGTTTCCTAATGGTTAATTAGAGATAAGAGTGTCACAGACTTTCCTGCCTGGGTTGGCTTTGAACTGCAATCTTCAGATGTCAGCCTACTGAGTAGCTAGGATTACAGGTGTGAGCCACCAGTGCCTTGCATCAATCACTTCTTAACCAATAAAGAAAGCAACAACAACAAAAAACCAACAACAAACAACAGCAGCCCCCCCCAAAAAACCCCAAAAGCCAAGAACCTGTGTGCTCAGGCATGTGGCACGCTGCCCTTCTAAATCCCACTACAAGGATGAGAGAGACAGCAGGGCAGTTTTAGGTGTTCCCTAACAGGAAGGGGCAGTTCTGTCTTAAGAGGCATTAAAGACTTCTGTGGGTGGTAGTTGTACTCTTTGATAATAATGGGGCAATACAACAGCCTTTAGGTTTTCACTTCTTGGTTTCATGTTTAGGAAGTATTAAAGGGGCAAGGAGGGGAGGGATTCTCACTTCCTTTTGAGGATAAAATTGGGAATCTTAAGGAAAAAATTGAAGGGTTCCTGTCAGAGAGCTAACTGGCTGCAGCCCACACACCCTTGACACTGGAGGGGAAGGGGCACAGTACCAGTGTATGGTTTCCTAGCAACAGAGAGGCACCTTGGGAAAGATTTGGCCTTGTCACAGCTAGAAAGCTATCCTGGTGTATTTTGTCTCCTGTCTGAAAGTCTGCCTTTACTAATGTGATAGACAGGAGCTCAGGAAAGCAGAGCTTTGAATCCTTGTACACCACAAAGCGTGAAGAGCATCAAGTAGTCCCCTGCTGGGCCAGAGAACTCTAGCTTCCAGAATTGCTTCTCACATCTAGTCTACAGGCTGATAGTGATAAGAGGAGTATCATCCTTTTGAGTCAGAGATAACTCTCCACTCCCACCTTAGCTTGCATTATCTCTGTCTATTGATAGACCCATAGTCTTCAAGATCAATGTGCCTCTCTGCCAAAGTGGGCTTCTTCTTCAGGAGCACTATGGAGCAGTTCTCGAAAGGCACCCTAGGACTAGTTGGGAGTAATGACTAGCTAGATAAGCTGTGTCCCAAGAGTAAATTCCCTCTGTTCTGCTTCAGAAAGAAAAGCCTGAGAAGAAGGAAAGAAGATTGGTTGAAAGGAAAAGGAAGGTAAAGGGGGAAGAGACAAGAGAAAGAAGAACAAAGGGAAAATCTTGGCAATGGCAGGGGAAAGGAAAAAACATCAACAACCCTCTAAGGCTCCTAAAACCTGTACCATAAGCGGCAGGATTAAAGCAATCCTTTTTAATAAATGGCCATAATTTATAATGAGTTGGTTTTAGCAGTTGCATTGAAACACTATGTATCTTCCTGTGTTCAATAAAGAGAATAAACTGGGTGCTTCTGTTTTGCATAGGTTGAGAATTTTAAACGCAAACTTGGCAATTCACTAAATGGACAGGAAAAAGTCTAATTCGTGGTTATAGTAAAGTGTGTGTGTGTGTGTGTGTGTGTGTGTGTGTGTGTGTGTGTGTGTGTGTGGTGGGGTGGGTGGGGAGGCGGATTGGCCCACTATGTCAGACTTGTAAGTATGCCTGGAGAAGTTCAGGGGCTTGTATGATGTTACATCAGGTTCACTTTGCAGAAGTAGAAATTGATGCTTAAAACCCTATAGATTTTGGACTACATGGCCAAAGTGGAAGGAGTCATGGGGAAATGAGTGCAAAGACAAGGGGAATGAATGCTGAGGAGAGGGGCAAGGAGGCAAAAGTAGTGTCATCCTTCCTGTTTTGCAATATGAGGAGCTCATTAGCAACAAGAACACTTTGGAATACAGTGAAAGAGTCCTGTTTCTCCACATTCAGCACTCAAAATTTCCTCAGGGCCAGCTATTAAGAAACAAATCCTTGCTCTTGTCTGACCACAGGAAATGTTTTCCAAACTTCCTACCTGACCACTTACACTAAAAGGGCATGACTTTGAGGGGTTAAAAATAAAACTCTGTAAGTTTATTTCCTTGTCCTTCTATTCACCTTAGGGTAAAAAGGAAATAGAGATCATTAAACCTCAAGTCACAAATTGGAAAAGACCAAAATGGGGAAGTCTTTTGGGTGATAATTGAGGGTCTATAGTCATACCACCCTGAACTCATCTTATCTTGGATGCTAAGCAGAATCAAGCATGGTTAGTATTTGGACTGGAAAAGAAAGTGTAGAAAGGTAAGGTTCTGCCTGAAATGTAGGTCATTATTTGATCTGAGAAGAGCATGAAGGAGCTCTGTTTTTCAAAGAAGAGCATGTAGGCTTATGCTTCTGGTGGTTTTTTTTTTCTTTTTTTTTTCGGGAGAGGAGTTGCTCTCCCCTCCCGTTTTTTTTTAAAAATTAATTAATTTTTTTATGTGTGAACATACTGTACAGAGGGGTTACAATTACATGGGCAGGATAATGCGTACATTTCTTACCAAGCATTGCAGCCTCCTCCTTTTGTTTACCCTTCACATCCCTTCCCAGCCTCCCCCCCCCCCAATCCCAATCTTTCCCCTTCCCCCCCCCCCCCCCCCCCCGCACCAACGTTGTAAAGCTCGTTTTGGACATGACAACTTGTACTTCTCATTGTTGCAACAGGTCCACCTGTATCTTTAAACAACTGGTTTTTCCCCATCTCCTGCTTCTGGTGGTTTTATTGTCAGACCTGGAATACATTTGCTGGCTGTTTATTTAAAATTTATATGGAAACCTAGGTAGACATTCCTTGAACTCTTAGTTTTCTTAGGGAAAGACTGATGTTTCCTTCTATAAACCTTTAATGTAATGGGCCTTGGTGATCAAAGGAAAGTTTAACCGAAACACTAAGTTCTGGAGAGAAACAAGAAGATTTCCTGTAGTACCTACAACCATACCTATAAATTCTGCAAACAAGAAACAGAAAAGATAACGAGCCTAGGGAAAACAGGAAGATGTACAGGAAGTATCCAAGCAGGTCTTGAACTGGAGATTGAATGAATGAATGAATGAAAGAGATATCTTTTCAGAGGAGACAAATGTAATCATTTAATAAGAAAGCCATGCATTTGTGGCTCACGCCCATAATTCTAGCTACTCAGGAGGCTGAAGATCTGGGGATCATGATTCAAAGCCAGCCCAGGAAGAAAAGTCCATGAGACTCTTATTCCGATTAACTACCACCCAAAAAGCTAGACCTGAAGTTGTAGGTCAAATGGTAGAGTACTAGCCTTGAGCACCAAAGTTTAGGGACAGTACCTAAACCCTGAGTTCAAGCCCTAGGAAAGAAAGAAAGAAAGAGAGAAAGAGAAAGAAAGGAAGGAAGAGAGAGAGAAAGAGGGAAAGAAAGAAAGAAAGGAAAGAAGAAAAAGAGAAAGAAAGAGAGAGAAAGGAATAAATATAGACTAGGGACCTTTTGTGAGGCCATGAGGCCATGAGTAAGAAACCCATAATTTAAACCAATAAAAATGTAAATATCCTAAAATTAACTGGAGAAAAGATCTTATGGACATTCTAATTCATAGTTTCTAAAAAATCCTCATACTAATCTCTGGAATCAACAGTCATAGATTTAAATCCTTACTCTCCACTAACCACCTATATGACTTTGGAGAAGTCACTTAACCCAATATTCAGTCATCTTATTTTAAAATATTTCAATAATGAGTACTTTCCTCAAAGGACTAAATGACTTAATAATGATATGTTAGTGATATGTACACTTAATACAATGATTGGTATATAGTAAGTATTAAATGAATAGTATCTGTTATTTAAACCAGAGTCTCCATCTGAGTGCTGATAGCTCATACCTATAATGTTAACTACTAAGGAGGCTGAGAGCTGAGGATTACACTGTGAAGCCACCCTAGGCAGGAAAATCTGTGGGACTCATCTCCAATTACCCAGCAAAAAGCCAGAAGTGGAGATATGGCTGAAGTGATGGAACAATAGCATGAGTACAAAAGCTCAGAGACAGCTCCCAGTCCCCGAGTTCAAGCCCCAAGACTAACACCATAAAAAAGAGCCTCCTACAATCTATGAACTGTCTCCGATAAGCCCCAAGTACAGGTGTGGACTAAGTAGGTAAGTTTGGATCCCTTCCCTGGGTTAACTTCCTTGTTCCTGTAGCACTTTGGATAATAGTTTGTTTACTTTTGTCTCTACTACTATATCCTAACTCACCTCTCAAGTCCCAAGACAAATCTTAAAGCAGGATCTCTCTTTTTTTCTTTTTTTGGCCAGTCCTGGAGCTTGAACTCAGGGCCAGAGCACTGTCCCTGAGCTTCTTTTGCTCAAGACTAGCACTCTACCACTTGAGCCACAGCACCACTTCTGGCTTTTTCTGTTTATGTGGCACTAAGGTAGAACCCAGGGCTTCATGAATGGTAGGCAAGCACTCCACCACTAACCCACATCCCCAGTTCCAAGTAGGGTCTCTCTTATTCAGACCTCCTAGCACAGTGCCTGGCACATGTGAACACGGAGAACACATTGATTAAACTGAAGCCAATAGCCCAAGTTATCATTAAATTTTTCATCTTGTTTTCATTCCTGGGTTCACTCCTGGGGTTCGAATGAGAAATGATGTAGTTCCATACCTGAAAGAGGGCTTCTTGTGGCAACCATTACCATGGGTATTATTGTCCCTACTTAAGGGGTTCACCATAAAGTGTAAATTCCTAAAAACAACATAACTTACTTAGATATAAAAATGGAGGGCTGGGGAGGTGGCTCAGTGGTAGAGCGCTTGCCTTGCATTCATGAGGCCCTGGGTTCGATTCCTCAGCACCACAAAAGAAAAAAGAAAAAAGCCAGAAGTGGTGCTGTGGCTAAAGTTGTAGAGTGCTAGCCTTGAGCTGAAGAGCTGAGGGGCAGCGCCCAGGCCCAGAGTTCAAGCCCCACGACCGGACCCCCAAAAAATAAAAAATAAAAGTGGAAGTGACCTTTTGAGCTGGACCCATGTGTGCCACTGTATCTCAGGAGAGTTTTATATTATCAAGGCCCAGTGGGAATAATGGCCCTATTTGTGTTAGCCTGAATTATGTTAACAATAACTTATTGCCTCTGTCACCACTGAAATTACCTGTGCCCTTCTTGAACATATTTGTATTTTTTAGTTTATACCACCTAACTGGGTAACAATTACCAGTTGTCTACCTGTATCTATCTATAGTAGGCTGTAAAGCATTTTTAAAAAAATTAATTGGTATTATAAAGGTGATGTACAGAGTGTAAAGAAAATATTAATTTTATTTTTTTCTAGGCTTTAAGAGATACCTCCTTTTACTAGTACTATATTTTATGGGAGGGTGTAAGTCCATGTTCACACTATATGTATTAGTTTTGCATTCCAAAGCCCTAGACCTCTCCAAACACAATTCAATTGCACACTATTTGACTTAGTAGGGTTTCAAAGTTTCCATTATTTGGTTAAATTGAAGCTGAAAACAGGTTTCCCAAGGGATTTGTATTGCCAAACTTACTGGTTAACAAGAAACATCCCTGTGATGCTCTTATGTGCCCTTAGAGTATTTATGGGCTTTTCATTAATAGGAGTAAATTCATCTTGAGTTTCTGCCCTTATGGTCTCGAGAATTTTAATTAGCCAAATTTTAATGACTGCTGTGGTTTGGAAATGTCCTCTAAAGTCCCCTGTGCTGAAAGCTTGGTCCTTAGCCTGTGGCACTATTAGGAGATAGTGCAAGTAGCTTATGCATTTAATCCTGGCTACTCAGGAGACGGAGATCTGAATAGTGGTTTGAAGCTACTCCAGGCAGAAAAGTATCAAGACTCATTCTCTAATTAACCAGCAAAAATTTTGGCTGGTGGCTCTAGTGGTAGAGTGAGAGTTGCAAGGAGGTTGAACAAGTACAAAGCCCTGAATTCAAACTTGGGTACTAGCGTAATATGAAGCCTAATAGACAATTGTTGATTGCTTGGGTATACAATCAAAAGAAATTGTGGAACCCAGTCTCTTCTTTGTGTGTCTGTGTGTCCTGGCCATGAGAAAAATACTTGGTTCTGCTATATACTCCTTGCCTTACCACAGGCCTAAAGCAATGCAGCCATTTGGTTATGGATTGAAATCTCTAAACTGATGCCAAGCAACCCTTTCATATATATTGTCTCGAGTATTTTGTCATGAGGGAAACTTGACTAACACAGTCATTGTTCATTCTAAATAACGGTTGATGTGTTTTCCCAAAATGCCCAGTTCAGTGCTCTACACACAATGAACTGCTTTTAATTTAGGGCCTTTGTTTTTTTGTGTGTTTGTTTCATTTAATCTCTGCTCAAAAGGAAAAGGTGAAAGTGTCAATTTGGCATCACTTTTTTTTTCTTTTCTTTTAGTTGTGGGGCTTGAACTCAGAGCCTGGGAACTGTCCCCGAGTTTATCTGCTCAAGGCTAACACTAGCAGTTTGAGCCACAGCTCCAATTCTGGTTTTCTGGTGGTTGGAGATAAGAGTCAGAGAATTGCAGATTGCTTGGTCTCAGTCTCCTCAGTGTGAGCAACTCACACCCAGCTAGCTGCAACACTATTTCTGACCTATGTAATAACAAGACAAAAGGGGAGAGGGCATCATAAAAAACACATTTTCTCCATGCAGTCCCAGGTGGGAAGTCTGAAGAAAAGAAAGGGACTTTGTTATTTCAGGTTTGATTCAAACCCTTGTGTGACTCATAATACTCCTTGTGTAAGGAGCAAAGACAGGGCTTTTCCCATGGTAGAAGTCTGGAAAAGGGCCCTGTTGATCAAAGGTTCATGGTAATGTACTAATGATATAGTAATGACACTGATAGCTGCTATTTTGCAGCCTCATTACTCACTCCTATGTGTAGTCCAAGACACTTTGGAACACCATAAAACTTTTTCTCCCATTTCTCTTATTTCTTCTCTTAGTCTACTCAAATCTTGCCATCTCTTCCATCATTGCCTTACCTATACAGTCCTTAATCTAGTCACTGGTACCCTAATCTAGTCACTGGTATCACTGGCTGCTATAGGCCATGGGGGTATAGTCTGGCTGCTTATTCATGTTATAAAGACAATGGAAAGGTTCTATTAAAATGAGAGAAATAACATGAAAGCATGAATTAGAACAAAGGGAATAGAAGGTTATTTGCTTTTCCAAACATACCTGAAAGTCATATGCAGAATAAGGTGGCAGATGGGGAGGGCTATGGTAGTAGGTATTGTATGATGCCACTTGGGGACGAGCATAGTAAGAAACTGTTGGATGTGTATTTTCAACAGAACAGTTCAGTGCCGGGAGAGTGGGGTTCTGTGGAAAAACATAAGTTAGAAACAACATAAATTTTCATCACTAGAATGCTTATTACATTCCCATTAGCAGTGTATGTGTCCATTTTTCCCTTCAGCAGCATTTGTTATTTGTTTTTTTTTTTGACAGTAGCCATTCTGACTGCGATGAGAAAAATCTCAATGTCATTTTGATTTACCTTTGCTTTATAGGTAAAGATTTTTTTAACATATATTCATGTGTTTATTGACCATTTGTACTTCTTTTGAAAACTGTTTAATTAATTTTCTCATTAATTGGGTTTATTCTTTTGGTGTTTAATTCACAATTTTAAAGCTACTATGTATTGTGTCCCAACTTTTTAACTTGAAAACTTCAAACCTATAGAAAAACAATGATTTCTATGACTTTTAAAAACAAGGGTTTAAAAGTAAGATCTGAAAACTGTCAAATTGCAAGGCTCTTGATAGGACAGAATGCATTTAATCACAAAATATTTGTAAAGGTGAGGATTCTTCCACATTCCATTCTTCCTAATGAGCTCTTCTGAATATATGAAGGACATATAGTGAAAATATGTAGACAAGCTTTGGCAATGGCACAGACAACCACTTTAGGGTTTTGGCAGGGGAAACTCCTTTGCAGCAAGTTTCAACACAGTTCAGTTCAGCTCAGTGGCTGACTGTTGACTTGTCTAGGAGGTTTGAAGAACTCGGTCATTACAATTCAGCTCACAAACAAGAGAAATGTTTAGCAGCCTCTACCTAGTGGTATGAAATTTTGACTATTCCAAGGACTGACTTGCCTTAAAAAGGAAGAACTCTTAGAGATGTAGAAATATAAAACTAAGAGTGGATCCCTGCTTGTCACCATGTACTAACACCAACTCATAAATGGATTAAAGACCTCAACATCAGACTTGAAACTGAAACTACTGCAAGACAGAGTAGAAAAGACATCAGAACTTATAGGCACAGGCAGGAACTTCCTGAATAGAAACAACAGATAAGAGAGAGACTTGACAAATGGGACTACATGAAAATAGAAAGTTTATGCACAGCGAAAGACATAGCTACTAAACTAGAAAGACGACCAACCAATTGGGAAAAGATCTTTACCAGAAATACATCCGACAAAGGCCTAATATACAATATATACAGGGATCTCAAGAAACTAACCCTTTCCAAACCTAATAAACCAATAATTGAATGGGCAAGAGAGCTAAGGAGAGACTTCTCAAAAGTGGGAAGAATGGCAAACAAACACATGAGGAAATGTTCATCATCTCTGGCAGTAAAGGAAACGCAAATTAAAACAACCCTGAGATATTATCTAAACCCCAGTTAGACTGGCCAATTCAAACAATAACAAATGCTGTCATGGATATGGAGAAAAGGTAACCCTACTACACTGTTGGTGGGAATATAATACAACCACTCTGGAAAGCATTCTGGAGGTTCCTCAAAAAATAAAACTTAAAGCCGGACGCTGGTGGCTCACGCCTGTAATCCTAGCTACTCAGGAGGCTGAGATCTGAGGATCGTGGTTCAAAGCCAGCCTAGGCAGGAGAGACCGTGAGACTCCTATCTCCAATAAACCACCAGAAAACCGGAAGTGGCGCTGTAGCTCAAGTGGTAGAGCGCTCGCCTTGAGCT